AGCCTGCACCTGACCATAAACAAACGCCACCTGGGAAAAAAATCTCGCGTAGGCTGCCATTGTGTAGAGGCTTCAGTTACCTGGTGGACACCATGGCGAGCGCATTAAGTTCCATCGACCGTCCCTGCTCAACGAGGCGTTCCTCGCGACCTCTGACCGAGGATGAAATTAATAAGAATTTGTTCCCAGATGGTGATGAATCTGATATTGATGACTCAGACTTTGATCATGACAACACACAGCCCTCGGAGGTGGATACGACCGACGACGAGTGTGAACATGCTGGCTCCACCAGGGCTAGGCCTAGCATCTCGCCCATGCCTCCTCGCCCTCACTTGACTCCACTTCGTGCCAGACCCCACAGTTCATGTGCAGTTTTGCAGGATATTGATGTTTGTTCGACGAGTCTGAGGAAGGTGAATCATTTTCCGGTTTTAGTGACTAAGAATCGGAAAATAGTTTCGGTGCTAGTGCCAGTGGAGTGTGTGGTGTTGCCAAGCGACATTTTGTTGCGTTAGCAGCATCTGGCCCAGCCATGCGGCACCGCTTGGCACCACATGGGGACGGTGATGAACAAAGACCCTCAACATCAAGTAATTTTCCGTCAACGTCCATGCCTGCCCCTACTGTTCCTAGACCTGCTTCAGCTCCTGGTCAACGGTTTCCTTGCCGTGGTGTCGATATTGGCTCTCGAAAGACAACAGGTGTTTTTGTGTGGAGTAATGGGACAGATTTTGTTCCACAAATTCCTGTGTTTGATAATTCAGATGTTGGGAGTACAGACTTTTTCCCTGATAAAGGTGCAGATATGTGTGAAATGGACTATTTTACCGCATATTTCAATGAGCCGCTGATGGAATATATTGTTCAGGAAACAAACAAATATGCGGCTGATCTCATTGGTGAGGAGGAATTATCAGATTTTTCACATTTACAGCGATGGAAAGATACGACTGTGGGTGAAATATATGTGTTTTTGGCACTGTGGATGTTGATGAAACATTGTGTCAAACACGTAATTGATCATTATTGGAGAAAGACCATACTGTTCCAACACCAATGTTCGGCAAATATATGTCTCGAGACCGATTTGCGATAATCCTCAGGTGTCTTCATTTTGCAAATGATGAAGACCAGAATGATGATGATAGACTTTGGAAGGTAAGGCACGTCCTGCATGAACTTATTGGAAAGTACAGGGATCTCTACGTACCAGCTCAGAAGCTGGTGATTGACGAATCTCTTGTGCATTTCAAAGGACGTCTTGCCTTCAAGCAGTATATTCCCTCCAAAGGCCACCAATTTGGATTGAAATTCTTTGTACTCTGTGACTGTGAAACAGGAATTGTGTTACACATGATCATGTATACGGGTACAAATGTAGACATTCCTGCTAATGACCAACATGGCTTCTCGGGTAGTGTTGTGAAGTCACTGCTTGCACCATATCTGAACAAGGGCCACATATTGTACAGAGATAACTATTATAACAGTTTCTTGCTAACCAGGTTCTTGCTTGATAATAGAACTGGAGTGTGGGGCACAGTGAAGGCAAAATGAAGAGAAATGCCAGTGTTTCCAGGTGCTATGCAGGTTGGTGATTGTGAGCTAAGGAAAACAGATGCAATGCTTTCAGTGCGGTGGAAAGACAGGCGTGAAGTGAAGATCTTGACCACCATTCACAATGGTACAATGTTGGACAGTGGCAAAGTGAACAGAACGACTAAACAAATAATCTATAAGCCAGATTGTGTCTTGGACTATAACATCAACATGCATTTGGTGGATAAATGTGATATGATGGTAAGGGCAGTGGAGTGTGTATGCAAAACAGTCAAGTGGACCAAGAAAATGTTTTTCCACCTTGTTGATGTAACAATGCTGAACAGTTACAATATGTATCTTGTCAAAACAGGTGGTAAACGAAATTTCCGTGCATTCAGTTTTACTGTAGTGACAATTACAATTATTGAAAGGTGTTGTCCTTTCTCTCTTGGTTGTTTCAGGACCGTCATCTTATGCCTAATACTGTCGCCTCGTATCGTGCGGCGCTGGCGGAGCCGCTGCAGCTTGCTTTCAGTATTGATGTTACTTCTGCGCCGTTTCGCAAGCTGTCTCGGGCGTTGTTTCACCTCCGGCTTGCTCATGCGCCACCTGAGCCGTCCTGGTCTTTGGACAGAGTGCACTTCTATCTTTCCACTCCTCGTTTTGTGGTGGCCCCTTCGGTTCAAGATTGCTTTGCTAAGGCTCTTTTTTCTGTTGGCATTAGCCTCTGGGGGTCGTGTGGCGGAGCTTCATGCTCTTCTCCGGCGCAGGGGTTTTTGCTCCTTTGGTCGTGGTCTTCGGTTTGTTCGTTTGCAGCCGTCTCCCTCTTTTCTGGCGAAGAATGAGACTGCTGTTTTCCGGAGGGGTCCTTGGGTTGTTGATACGTGGTTTGTCAGGCCGGGGGTTCACCATGTATTGTATCCGGTTGCGGCCCTCCGCCGTTATCTGCGCGCCACGGCTTCAGTGTCCGGGGACGCGCTTTGGGTTGATCCGGTTTCCCTTCTTCCCTGTTCGCGGGTTCGGGTCTCTCAGGTCGTCCGCAGGGTCATTAAATCCAGCCAGCCTGCGGTCTATCCCCGTGCCCATGACGTTCGTAAGTTCGCTGCTCTTGCCGCCGTCTTCGGCAATATGTCTTGGACTGACATTCGGGCGCAGGGATTTTGGCGGTCGAACAGGGTCCTGGCTGCACGCTACCTTGTTAACGTTCCTGGGCCCAGTCGGGCCTGTGTTGCCTTAGGTCGGCGGTTGCGGCCCGTGGTCTCGGCTTCGTCTTGAGAGGTGGAGCACCGACCGCCTCCTGGGTAAGTGCCCTTGGTTTTTCTTGGTAGTCATTGGTGAGGTAGCTCCGGGGAGCCGCAGGGGCTCCCCCCAGAAAACCAGCGTTGAATGTAATGAAACCCCATTTTCTGGGTGAGTCCCGGAGGCTCTCCGGCATCCCTCTCGCCCTCCGGTCGGCGGTTTTTCGCGGTTTTTGATGTCCATCCTCAGAACTGGGGTGTGGATCGCCGGCTCGGGGGTCTGGGGCTCCCCCTTCCCCCTCCCGGGGAGGGGGGAGCTGCGCAGACATGCGGCGCGGCTCGTGTGACGTCATGCTAGTTTGCTTGCTTTTCTTTTGGGGGAGTTCTGTCCACTCGTTTGTCAATTTTGTTGTTAACCAGAAGAGGGGTTTGTTTTGGGGCGCTTACCTTTCTGGGTGCCTGTCCCGGTCGATGGCAGATATGGAATGCTCCAAATCACATGTGCATTCTATGGGCCATTGCTCCCCGTGCCTCTCTGAGGGGGCCAGGTTCTGGCTCGTGGTCCCCGGTAGGCCTAGAACTCCACCCACATCGACTGATGCAAAATAGTTAGGATATCCATATCAGCCATGGATAGCTCCGGGGAGCCTCCGAGACTCACCCAGAAAATGGCGTTTCATTACATTCAACGCTTTTTTTTTTTTTTTTTGGAGATATATACAAGAGCTGTTACATTCTTGTACAGCCACTAGTACGTGTAGCGTTTCGGGCAGGTCCCTGAAATACGGTCCCCGCCGCGAAGAATCGTTTTTTCGTCCAAGTACACATTTTACTTTTGCGTTAAACAGAGGCTACAGTTAAGGAATTGCGCCCAGTAAATCCTCCCCGGCCAGGATACGTACCCATGACATAGCGCTTGCAGAACGCCAGGCGAGTGTCTTACCACTACACCACGGAGACTGTACTAATCTTCTAAACTTATAATAATAATAATCATAGAACAACTATTCCTGCAGAATATACTAAGTGAAACTTAAATTTACCACCCAGCAGTGAGTATTGATTGATAACACTCAAGAAAATTCAGTTATTTTCCTAGCTATCCATTCTTGAAGAGGTTCAGGGCAATGTGCCTTTCATTTCCATGGTGTTCATTTTGAAACTTTAATATAATCATTAGTGTGCTTTGGAAAAATTGAATACCTCCATGCAAAGATCAAAATGCGTTACACCACATTTAAGATATCATATTTGAAAGTTAAGAAGCAAGACCAAAGAGCAGAATCTCAACTCCTGCAAGCACATTTAGGTCCAAAACAGGTAGAATCCAGAGTAGGTGGAGGTAGAAAGGGTGTTGGTAGTAGTAGGTAGGGCAAATATGGGTGGAATAGACAGGTGATTGGGGCAGGAGTGGACTGGGTGTGGTTAGTGAGAATTATTTGTTGGAATTGTCTTTCCCCAGCACAAGGTAAGGTAACCCCTAACTCTTCTGCCTGTCAGTGACGTGTGAGTTAATTCCTTCAAACTTTCTCTCATAACTCATTCCCTCTGGAAAGTGTGTAACAATTGTTCACAAATTCTGAACTCTTCATCTATACTCACACAGCAGTAATTGTGGACTTGATTGTAAATCAATTATCAGGTCGTGTTTTAAGAATAAATGGTAGGATAAAGCCTTAGATGAATTGTGGGAGGAAGAGCTTTAAGCGTACTAATAAGTGAAAAGACACTCGCCCCACACTTCGCGAGCGATTTTCCCTGGGTTCATATCGTGGCCGGGGAGGATTGACTAGGCACCAATCCTTAACTGTATGCCTCTGTTCACCCAACAGTGAATGGGTACCTGGTTGTTAAACAATTTGGCAGGTTGTATTCCAGGAAAATTAGGATTAAGGACCTGACCGAAACACATGCATTCTTGTGGCTTTACAAGAATGTAAGAACTTTTGCATATAAAAATAAAATAACATATAATAATAAAAATAATTTGCCCCTATACCTACTGGTATAAAAGGAAAATATTAAGTGCGAAGATTTGGAAGATATTCAACCAATACTGATATAGCAAAATAGGCTGATACCAGTTAAAAAATTGGCTGATATCACTGAGACAGTTCTATAGCTTGTATTCCTAAGTATTCACTTATAAACAGTACTCAATTTCTTATTGTATTAGAAAATAAGGTGTAAGTTATTAATAGCTTTTATTTTGTATAGGTTATGTTGTGAGTGGACCCTGGATATGGAAGGTGTAAAGAAGTCCCTGGCATCGCAAGAGGTCACATCAGTCATGTTGTTATTCTATGCTTGGATACTATCTCATCCATTTTGGTATGTGATAGATCCTCACAAATTTTATGATCAGCTATTTTGTCTATGTACTTTTGTACTATAAAAATTCTTAACAGTATCATGTATTTTACCACGATATTGTTTGAGTAGGTTATAACTTCAATCTAGTTTTACGAAAAATTAATCAAATTAATGGCTGTTTTGTTATTTTTTAATTGCAGCCATTGATCGTTACTGTCCATTTTGATAGCAAGGAAAAGAACTGTAAATTTGTAAAGGGTACATGATATGAATGAGTAATTTTTGTACTATCATTAACTATTCAGCAATTAATGTTTGATTTATATTGTTAATACAATGTGTTCGTCTTGTATCTCTAAGTTGGCAGTCGTTGGCTGCCAGTATATGAAACAAGTCAGTTTTTGATGGTTGTCATTTCTTTTATTGTATATGTACATATGAATATACATAAAAAGAAAAATACTTAGTTCCTTCATTTTTTTTGTGAAGCTGTGCTTTATTAATTTTAAAGAATTATTGTTTTTGTTTATTGTATGATTGTTTTATTAATTTTAATATATTTGTATTTAGTTACAATTAGTACCTGTTCAATTTAATTATACCATAACATATGTGGTATGTTTCAAGAATTATAAAAGTGCCTTAATGGTACCCGTCCTACAAGTTTTCATTCCACTAATGTTGTTTAGTGATAAAATCTAGATTCCTCATCCCAGAGCACAAGACTTTGTTCAGTTGTCTAGTCGCATAAAACAAGAAAGCTCTTTGATTTATTTTTGTAAAGATTTTGTAATTATTGTCATGTTCCATAAAGAATATGAGTATGTCTTAAAGATTTCTTGTTTTTTTACCCAAATGTATTTAGCTTTTACTTTAAAACTGCCATTTAAAGTGCTGGAACTGGCTCAGCAAAAACAAGAAACACTGCTTATATAATTTAATGTTTTAGCTTAAAGAGAGAACTTTCAAGGTAAGTTTCACTCTTCATTTAAGAAATGTATAAAATTGAATTTTTTCCATTAAAGTAAATCATATGCCAGCATGATTTGCACCACTGCAAACCGCACAAAATTTAAATACAAGTAAGGTGTTGAGCAAAGTGAATCACTTCTTTCTGAGCCTGAGCCATCATGGTCCACCCAGGACTCATAACTCCCTCCAGGCTCTCTCCTCAACCTTATTCCCTCAAGATGACAAACAGTTTTGCAAATAGTCTAGCTGGCAAAATTAGGGTATTGAGAACTCAATACCCATTGAGTTGCAATATTGAATGCAACTCAAGTGAGTACTCAGAAACCAGCTCATTGTGAGGCAAAAAGAGAGAGAGTAACATGCTCATCAATTTAATTATGCCATAATTTTCCACACTTCTTGCAAGCACAGGTGGGGAAGAGCTCCATGAAGAGGAAAAACAGTGGCAAAAAAGTCTCTGCAAAATCCCAGGTTATGAATCCAACTTTCCTGGCAGCAGTTAAAAAGGCACCCCCTGAAGAAATGAGACCACCACCTTCAGTCAAACCTGGCCCAGTGGATAAACCATGCAGGTAAAGTTTAGACTGTCACACAGCCACTCGAGACCTCTGAGTAAATCTATGGGCTCAACACAACCAGACTTTCTTCTAAGGCAAGATATGCCTCAGAAGAGACAGACAGACACACCATCATGGGGAGCCGAGCGGACAGCACGCCGGACTTGTGACCCTGTGGTCCTGGGTTCGATCCCGGGTGCCGGCGAGAAACAATGGGCAGAGTTTCTTTCACCCTATGCCCCTGTTACCTAGCAGTAAAATAGGTACCTGGGTGTTAGTCAGCTGACACGGGCTGTTTCCTGGGGGTGGAGGCCTGGGCGAGGACCGGGCTGCAAGGACACTAAAGCCCCGAAATCATCTCAAGATAACCTCAAGATGCCATTCCAAAACCAGGCTTAGCCAAGTACGAAACTACAATGGAGCCAAATGGGACTTCCTTTAGATCAGACACTCTTGCATACCTAGCTAGGAGACATAGACAATGATTGGGTGCCCATATCAATCAGTTGTCAAATTAGGCTAGGACTCAGACACTCAAAAGCAAAAGTGATCAAAGAATGACATGAGTAAGCTTGGTGAACATTCTAGGTACAGTACTCCTAGGTATCACTCCAGAAGGTAAGAGCCCGAATGTGGTAGGGGTGTGCCAGATCTGAAACACCAGCCAATCCCTGAACCTTTGATGGACTCTCACATACAGTATTTTATACCTATTTTAAAATTACTGTACATGATAATATACCTGTAAGTATTTAATATTGTAATGTGCTGATAAACAAAACAGGTATGTTCTACCACTGCCTTAAAGCATATGTCAATTTAATATCTGATATTAGCTGTCATTTCAAAAAATTTCTACAGAATTAAGATGAGAGTTTGGCTAGGGCTAAAATATCTAAATTATTGGAATCGGCTAAAAATTTTATGTATCCCGTAGCCCTTGCGCAGTGCTGCTGCTAATAGCCGACAACACCACTGTGCACAAAAACAAAAACTAAAACAAACATTCCTTATAAGACTATTAACCCTTAACCACTGCATTGCTCTGTATTAAAATACGGCACACCTGTGGTGCATTGAAAATTAATTCTTAACACAAAATTATTTTCTCTTCTTATATTGTTAAAATGCAGTCTCTGATCACGGGAAACTAAAAAAAAAATATTGCATGTGGCATACTTTAGCCGCGATGGAGCTGGGAAGTTGAGTATATTATGGGCACTGAGCGATGGAGCTGGGAAGTTGAGTATATTATGGGCACTGAGCGATGGAGCGCTCAAGGTCACTAGGCCCCGCCACCCCGTGGGACGGATGTTGCTGCGAATATAATGTTTCACAATTATTTTAATGTTTATCATTCATTTCTTCTCTGGTTTTATGCTGCAATATTATTCAAAAGTGTGTAATTTGTGGAATTTTTATACAGTAGTTCAATATGTGGAACATCGCTTTCCTCAAAATTATGGGGCTCATATATGTGACGTGTATTATATTGTACGATCAATCAAACTGTGTTTTTGCTCTTATTACACTATATACAGCCCGTCCTCCAAAAATGGGGTGGTAAATGTAAGGAGACAAATAAGTGCAATTATGTACTATTCATAGCAGTTAGGAATTGTACTTATTTTCACTTAGTATTAAATCGTACTGTCAAATATATTGTGAATATTTGAGTTTACCCCAAAAACTGAATAGAAAACCACAACCTCACCTAACCGTCTTAGTTTTTGAAGATAATAATTTTATTGCTTCTTAATTACAATTAGTACTTAACCTATAGCTATATTGATATTACAGTTTTATAAAACTAATAAAACAAAACTAAAATATATCAATAAATTGTAAAATAACTCAGGATATTTTAAAATTTTGTATAAAATCTATATTGTTTAATAAACCAGAAATTTTTTTTTTTATATTTAAAACTTGTGTAATACAAATTGAAATTGAAAATTTCATCCTAAAATTCTGTGTGTCTTAACAGAAAACGAGGGGAATTAAATCGGGGGAGGGAGTTGGGTAAATGTAACAGCCCCATAAGTGCAATTATGCACTGGTTATGACAGTTAGAAAGTGTACTTATTACACTTAGTATTAAATCGTACTGTCAATTCGGAGGATGGGTTGCTATATACACACATTGTACAGTGTGGGCTGCCACACCCAGGCAGCCCTCCCTCACTCCTTCAACACCTAACTCGCCAACATTACTCCTCGCACAATACTGTGTGGTGTTATTACACTATATATATAATGTTACTCAGGCAACCGGGACAGAATGTCGGCTATCACGTTGAGCCAGCCCGGTAGGTGGATAATGGAAAGATTGAAGTCCTGTAGGTACAATGCCCACCTGAGGTTGCGTTTATTCTTCCCCTTCATTTGATTCGTGAAGATTAGTGGGTTATGGTCCGTGTACACTTCCACTATATTACCTGTGAGGTAAACTTCAAACTTTTTACATGTTAACACTAGCGCCAATGCCTCTTTTTCTACCACTGAAAAATTGTGTTGCGCCTTGTCAAATTTCACAGAGTAATAATATACTGGGTGTTCCACTTGATCATCCCCAGTTTGCAACAACACTGCACCAGCACCAGTCAGACGCGTCAACATGAATTTTAAATGGTCGGTCGAACCTTGGACTAGCAAGCACTGGGGCGGAAGCTAAGATCAATTTCAAATTTTTAAATGCCTCTGCACAGTCTGATGACCACTTAAATTTAACGGTCTTCCGCAACAAGTCCGTGAGAGGAGTGGCACCACTGGAAAAGTTCTGACAAAAGCGTTGATAGTACGCACACATACCGATAAAACGTTGAATGTCCTTTTTAGACTGAAGCACGGGATACTCCAGAATGGCACTGATTTTATCTTGCCGAGGTAACACTTTTCCTTGGCCCACTTCATAACCGAGGTACGTCACTGTGCCTTGGCCAAAATGACACTTTTTTGCATTCAAGGTCAGATTTGCATTTTTCAAAACTGTGAACAACTGGCATAACCTAGCTATGTGGTCAGCCCAATTACTATCAAAGAGCACAATATCATCTAAATACGCCCGACAATTTGGCACATTAGCGAGCAAAGAGTTCATTAGCCTCTGGAACGTGGCAGGGGCATTACGAAAAAAAAAACTTTAATACTTTCTCTACTTTTAATACTTTCTGATCATTTGTAAACATAGTTGATGCCTATTTTATTACTTAATAATCAACCCCAAGCTCGGTCTTTACACGCTCTTTGAGAAACAAGAATCGTCTTACGTCTGGCAGGGAACACAAACACCTCGCTATGCGTCTCACTAATATAATGTAGCTTATTTAGCTCAATTTGACCTCTGGTTTCCAATTGAGGAACCCAGGGTCATAACACGTGTGTTACGTCGTCCGCAAATTGGACGATAATGGTGTCCCTGTACTTTGGTTGGGGCAGGTTATTTACAAAAATGTTGAAGAGTACCGGGCTCAGGCACGGCCCTTGGGGGACTCCAGCTGTTAGGGTGAAGGCTGCTGCCGCTTTTGCCTTGAAGCTGAGAGTAACGTGTCTGTTCTTTAGGAAATTTCTGATCACCCTGAGGAGGGGTCCAGTTTTGGGCTGGTAACTCTGCTAATTTGTACATCAGACCATCGTGCCATTGGCTGTCGAAGGCCTTGTGTACGTCTCTCATCGCAATCAGGGCTACCTGTTTTTCTTGGCGAATTGAGCTTACAGCATCGTAGATGATGTTTATTGAGTGCTGGGTTGACCTTTGTGCTTGAAAGCCAAACTGTTTTTCTGTGAAGAGGTTGTTGTACTTCTTGTAGTAGTTGAGACGGTTGGACGTGATTTTTTCAAAGCACTTTTCTATTGTATCTAAGAGGGAGATTGAACAGTAGTTGCCAGGCTGGTGGGAGTTTTTCTTGGGTTTGGGAATGAATATCATCTTGGCTGATTTGAAAGCTATGGGAATGTGACCAGATGCTAGCATGGCGTTGAATAAGTTGATTAGGGATTGCAGAAGATTGCCTGGTAGGAATTTGATCTGCTTTGCTTTGATCCCCGATGGTCCTGGGGCTTTATCTCGGATGCTTTTAATGACTCCTCTCATCTCTACCATTGTTATGAGTCTTGTTAGAGGGTGGTCGTCTTGGAGGGTTATCAGGTCTATCAAGGGGATGCTGAGTAGGGAGGCAGTGTTTCCTGTGGTACATTGGTTGACACGGTTGAAGTGAATGTTATTGAAGGCTCTGCTGTTTGAAACTGAGTGTCTTTTTTTTTCATTTACCCAGTCAAACACTAGGTAAGACGGTGGGCGGTGAGGACTCGGAAGAGATGTTATCTGGTGCTGTATGGTGAGGTTTGGATTTAAGTGTGGGACAAGATATAGAAGTACAGTAATTACTCTATATTTAGGTTGTTTTTTTTTCCTTTCATGAGTATACGGCCACCTACGAAGAGCATCCAGTATGGTCAAACTTCCCACCCATATCTCCTATGTTGGCATGGATCAAAGGGATATCTTTAAGCGATATACTGGTTAAGGCTAGTTTTCCATCGACACTTTGATCCGTTGATGGAGTGTCAGCTAAGCATTCTTGATACGACAAAACAATCTGTAAACCTTGATACCTGTGTCAGGGTCGAGGTGGTCCTACAATTAATAGATATGGCATATTTACTGTGGATAGTTACTGTAATGTGATTAAAATTAATGTCCACGGAGCTTGGTGTAGATCTGTAAATTTGTCAAGGCAGACAAAGGTTTGTTGCAGTAAATATTAGTCCCTAAAATAGTTACCTGGTGCCTGCATCAAAGAAAAGCAAGCAACCTGCAAAACAGTATTTTAATATATGGGTTTCATTATAAGTTTTACCTTGATGAGGGGGCAGCCTACCTAAATAAGCAAACAATTCTTCTCATTGCTTTAATATGAAATTGGTTACGTGAAAAAGATGTCAATAAAACTAGTCATATGTACGAAAATTTTATTGAATTACTCAAACTAGGAATGCTAACACGCTACAACACATTGCATGGTATCAATGCATAGCCCTGACAATATAGCTAGCAGCATCATTCAAGTAGGGTAAACACTTGTACAGGCAGGTAGTGGGCTCCTGCTTGTGAGATATGTGATTCTATTGATGTGATCAATGAAATCTTTTACATTTCAAACACCAGATAAACTTAAGAGTGGTGGATAAAAAAAAATTATATTTATTTAATGGCACTTACATGTATGAACACACACACATTTGTGTCATACTACATTTGTGCTTGTTACACTGTGTACATGTGTATTTGTAAATATATACCTGTGAATACATGAATGCATTTTATTATATATCATGTTTGTCAGAGCAATATTATTAAAACATTCTTTCAAATATTACTTAACCTAAAAAAATTTTAAATTAAATTTTCATGGTCTTTTGTGTATGAAAAACAGTTTAACCGAGTGATCAGATGTAAAAATATCATGCAAAGGCAAACAGTTGAACAAGAGTATCTTCAAGGCCATATTCAGAATGCACATCTTCAAGACCACATTCAGTTACAAACTTATTGATGCACACTACAAGATGTGCCATAAAAAATACTGATATTGACAAGTTCATTAACAATATTAAATAAAAATGAAATTTTTTTTGGCCATAAGACACATTCAAAAACTAGGCAGGTTTGAACTTCTATTCAAAAAGATTTGCTGAATAAAGTAGTATGTGGTTATCATGCATGAAATAGTTGCCACTAGCAAATAAAAAAACAAGTTCAATTTGTTCAAATAGCCATCCTAAGAAGCCTCAGAACTGGGAGATGACAAAGTGGTAGAACATGCAGCAAGTCCCTTTTCCCCAGTAGAGAATAACTCGCTGTAAAGAAAGTATTCACTGACTAACAGTAATACGTCAAATGTCAGAAACATTATCATAAACATACGGAACACTTATAATGACCAAAAGTTAATGTTATAGCCTTATAGGATATTGAATACAAGGTGGTCATCATTTTTAAATGTATGTAATATTCTTGAAAATAATAATCCACTATTTCTAAAACACGAGGAAACGTAGACTGTACTCTGTATTTCGATCCCAACCTGAGATTCTCTTCAGCAGTGAGCGAGAATGACTGCTGATGCTGTTTTTATGGCATAATATTCAGATCAAGTTAATATTCTTAACTTCTTAAAACAATTTTTTTGATAATTTTATATGTATCTTTATAAGTATAAGGCTAGACCATTCAGGCAGAACAAAAGAAATTTCAGGATCACATGCAGACAATTTTGAAGATATAGATGTAGCCTTACAGTACAGATTGGTAGATGGTGTGTGTAAATGTTGAGTATTTGATTCCATGCAAGATTACTACACACACACAAAATGGGTAGAAGGGGCAAATTTGTGTTCAATTCATTCTAATTATGTTTTGTAGGAAGAGATTATAAGTAATACAACTACAAAATAAAGCCAGATAAATTTTGTGCTATACATAACTTGCATTACATACAGAATTAAGTGCATCAGCTGAAGTGAATATATGGGTTGATTTTTAGTACATTTTCTGAATACAGACTTTATGAACTCTAATCTCAACATACATTCAAGCATTTGAATGCCATGAATTCTCTTAATATTTTGGTGCAATTAATTGGCTAAAAGTTTAGCACAATAATGACAAGATTTGATATGAATTCACCATATTTAAATAATAAGATAGAAAAATTTACATACACATACCTAAAATTCAATTACAACCTGCAAATATTTTTCTAATATTAAACTTACATGAAATTCAATTTAATTTCTACAAAAATAGCTGTTCAAGTGTAATACAAAATAAACTTATATACAAAAATCTTGAGAAAAACCACTAAGAGCTTAAAAGTATTAAAGTTGCAATACTCGGAGTGTATTTAATGAAAGTATCGATGACTTTCATTGCTGATAATGAAGAGTCACCTTACTTCAGTCTACCTGAGCACAAATTGTGTCTGAATTTAAAAGCAGATGAAAGGTTTATTACTATATATACCTTAGGAAATAAAAATGCTTATTACCATTTCTTTGTGTTATCTATAGCCATAAGCAATGCTCTGATTTCAGAACAGGATCATGAATAGCTATGATAAAATGACAAATATCAACAGTCAGATTAGTAGGCATATTACAAAAATAAATGCTATGCCAGTTTTTCACTAAATATAAACAAAAGTTTAATGGTTAACTGGAAAGAAAGATGTGTTCTCGGCATTATCAGAAAACAGCTAAATTACTCATATTAAAAATTATGTAGATAAGTTATCACTATTTTTCTACACTACTAAATATTCACGTCAACTCCTCCTGAATAAGTCACTCCAGAGGAGCCACTTAATGAGGTAATAAAATCATCCAATCGAGAATATTTTCCACACCTATTTCGAGTTTTCAAACTACAACAAATTATATAATAAATTTGAATAAACCCACAAACCAAAGAATAAGACCAAGAAGGTTTGCAGTACTGATATTCCAGCTACACCAATAGATAAGTGAAGGGAGCCTATTGTATACCTCAATGTAATCTTCAAGCTAAGAGTGTCTGAAAAAGAAATAGTATAAAATTAGGCATAAGAAATCATATGACTAACTGCAATATTCAGGGCTGCCATGTCATGGCTGAGGTAGAATAATGGCAAGCACTGTGGAAAACCGAAGTGGATCACTATTTTCACTGACGTTTACAGCAGTTTTATGACTTCTTTCTTTCACTGTATTAACTGGTAAGGCTAAAAAAAAACTTTATAAAATAAATTTTTTTTCACAAATTCACAAATTTCATAGCTTCAACGTAATACACACAGACATGTTACAGCTAATAATTATCAAAACAAACAGTTAACAATCCACTTCAATTTTCCTACCCAAACAGGTACTGACAGTTGGACAAAATTTTCATGTGAAGACCAGGATGATTAATATATTTGCCCTGATATAAAGTTACATTTATGAGAGTGAAGGAGATACAATCTTCACTTTACAAAAATATGGGAAATGCATGACAATACCTAAAATATGCAATTATTAAATAGTAAATATTTTATGCCATGTCCTGACAGAACACCAAAAGATTCTGTTACTTTAAGAGACCCTGACTTCCGTGTAACTTGTTTAGAAGACAATAAATAATACCCTACTCTCTGGGCACATCACTTATAGTTTGGCAACAGATATTCATACAAACACTGCTTATGTTCATAAATAATGGATTTACAAATTCAGTCAAACTATGGATACACACTTGTCATAATATTTTAATGCATGCAAATTATTAAATTATTACAGATTTATTCAGCACTAGGACATCAGCTTTAAAATATAAATATCAACAAAAAATTATAAATATTATATATATACAATATATATATTATATATATATATATATATATATATATATATATATATATATATATATATATATATATATATATATATATATATATATATATATATAAATATTTTGGTAGCAGTCTTTCTTGTAAACATATGTTATTAAATATGACCGAAAAAGTAAGATTAATAATTCTAACACAAATTTTCTCAATATTTCTTGTTTCTTTTTACTGTCGATGGTAATTGAAAAATCAATTCTCCAAAATTCATTTTTATTTCTAGTCTGACGCGACACTTGAACGCGTTTCGTAATAACTTATTACATTTTCAAAGACTTTAGTTTACATACACACAACACTAAACAGAGTTTTACTATGCTATCATTTAAACAGCTTTCGTCTTATATACTCGCATTTGGGTGAGGTGATATGTTACAACAGTTTTGGATGAGGTGAACAAAACCTCAAGTCTTGTGTTGAAAGTTTTGTTCAGCTCATCCAAAACTGTTGTAACATATCACCTCACCCAAATGCAAGTATATAAGACGAAAGCTGTTTAAATGATAGCATAGTAAAACTCTTAGTGTTGTGTGTGTGTAAACTAAAGTCTTTGAAAATGCAATAAGTTATTACGAAACGCGTTCAAGTGTCACATCAGACTAGAAATGAAAATGAATTTTGGAGAATTGATTTTTCAATTACCATCGACAGTAAAAAGAAACATAAGAAATATTGAGAAAATTTGTGTTAGAATTATTAATCTTACTTTTTCGGTCATATTTAATACATATATATATAAATATATATATGTTGTACCTAATAGCCAGAACGCAGTTCTTGGCCTACTATGCAAGCCCCGATTTGCATAATAAGTTGGCCCATACTTTCTCTTGCTGCTTCTATGTTGGTTCGGGGTCTTGAAGTGGGTGGAATATAGTAATGCGTTAATTGGCTGTTGATTGCTGGTGTTGAGTTTTTGATGTGTAGTGCCTCGCTGATGTCGAGTCAACTGCTATCGCTGTATCTATCGATGATTTCAGTGTTGCTTGTTAAGATCTCTCTGGTGATGGTCTGATTGTGAGAAAACATTATATGTTCCTTGATGGAGCCCTGTTGTTTGTGCATTGTTAATCGCCTAGAAAGAGACGTTGTTGTCTTGCCTATATACTGAGTTCTTTGGGGCTTACAGTCCCCAAGTGGGCATGTGAAGGCATAGAAGACATTGGTTTCCTTCTAGGCGTTCTGTTTGGTGTCTGGGGAGTTTTTGATGAGTAGGTTGGCTGTTTTTTTGTTTTTGTAGTAAATTATCAATTTTATTTTCTGATTTTTGTCTGTATGTAGGGATAACGTTCCTATGAATAATGTCTTTCAGGACACTTTCCTCCATTTTATGAGCTGTCGAAAAGAAGTTCCTGTAAAAACAGTCTAATAGGGGGTACAAGTGTTGTGTTAGTTGACTCTTCTGGGGTTGCATGGTGTTTCACCTTTCTTTTTATGACATCTTCAACGTTAGAGAAGCCATTGTTGACTAGGACCTGCCTTACCCTACAGAGTTCTTCATCTACTTGCTTCCATCCTGAGCTGTGACTGAGAGCCCGGTCACCGTAAGAGTTGACAACACTCCTCTTGTACCTGTCTGGGCAGTCACTATTAATGCCAATGTCCCAACTCTCAACTGTCAATCAAATAATGGACAGGTTCCTGAGCCTACTGGGCTCTAATAAGCCCAGTATGATCCTTCTTAAGATGCATTATTAAATACAAAAGTACTTAAGGAAATTCCTGTTTCAATTCTTCCTTCGTGGTCTGACACTGTCATTCAAATACTGTGTATGTATATGTATGTATGTATGTATGTATGTAAGTATGTATGTATGTATGTATGTGTGTGTGTGTGTGTATATTATATATATATATGTATATATATATATATATATATATGTTGTACCTAGTAGCCAGAATGTTGTACTTGGCCTACTATGCAAGGCCTGATTTGCCTAATAAGCCTAGTTTTCCTGAATTTATATATTTTTCAATATTTTTTTCTTATGAAATGATAAAGTTATCCATTTCATTATGTATGACTTAATTTTTTTTAAATTTGAGTTAAAACTAATGTAGATATATGACCGAACCTAACCAACCCTACCTAACCTAACCTATCTTAACCTAACCTAAACTAACACAATTAAGTCAATAATTTATGTTCCTAATATAATATAATAATAATAATTCAAATTAACTAATTGGAAAACAATTATTGAAAATAAAGAAAATCACTCGGCCTATTAGGCAAATCGGACCTTGCATAGTAGGCCCGAGAAGTGTGTTCTGGCTACTAGGTACGACATATACATACATACATACATATATATGACAGTGTCAGACCACGGAGGAAAATTGAAACGGGAATTTCCTTAAGTACTTTCGTATATTAATACATCTTCAGAAGGAGTGAACTCCTTACTCCTTATTAATACATACTTACTCCTTATATTAATGCATCTTCAGAAGGAGTGAACTCCTTACTCCTTCTGAAGATGTATTAATATACAAAAGTACTTAAGGAAATTCCTGTTTCAATTTTCCTCCGTGGTCCGACACCGTCACATTTTTATTCACGTGTTTATTTTCGTGATTTACACACACACACACACATGTCGTACCTAGTAGCCAGAACACACACACATTGATAGGGTAGATAAAGACAGTCTATTTAACACAAGGGTGGCCCAAATGAGCCACAGAGATATTAGAAAGAACTTTTTTAGTGTCAGAGTGGTGGACAAATGGAATGCATTAGGAAGAGATGTGGTGGAGGCTGACTCCATACACATTTTCAAGTGTAGATATGATAGAGCCCGATAGGCTCAGGAATCTGTACACCTGTTGATTGACGGTTGAGAGGCGGGACCAAGGAGCCAGAGCTCAACCCCCGCAAACACAACTAGGTGAGTACAACTAGGTGAGTACACACACACACGTCGTACCTAGTAGCCAGAACAAGCTTCTTGGCCTACTATGCAAGGCCCAATTTGCCTAATAGGCAGAGAGATTTTCTTTATTTTCAATAAATTGTTTCTAGTTAGTGTATTTGAATTATTATTATTATATTATATTAAGAACATAAATTATTGACTTAATTATGTTAGTTTAGGTTAGGTTAAGATAGGTTAGGTTAGGTTAGGTTAAGATAGGTTAGGTTAGGTTAGGGAGGGTTGGTTAAGTTCGATCATATATCTACGTTAGTTTTAACTCAAATTTAAACAAAATTAACTCATACATAATGAAATGGATAGCTTTACCATTTCATAAGAAAAAAATATTGAAAAATATATAAATTCAGGAAAACTTAGCTTATTAGGCAAATCGGTCCTTGCATAGTAGGCCGAGTACGACGTTCTGGCTACTAGGTACAACATATTTATATATGTGTGTGTATATATATATATATATATATATATATATATATATATATATATATATATATATATATATATATATATATATAATTTACTTACTTATACTTTTTATTTATTTAAATTATTTATGACAAGTGCATTTCCTTTGAATAATTTTTTGTTTTAAAAATCTTTATATTGAATTTCAACCTATTACTATTATTTTTAAATATATGAACATTGCTAATAAACTATGCTAACAAAGATCTTGAAATGAGAGTCCTTAATGTCTTACAGAACATTACTGCTTAAAAATAACCGACACATTTTTAATACAAGGTCTCTATCATTTATGAACACAGCCTAAAACAGGTCGAGATCTTGAAACAGTCCTTGAGAAAATGTACATTTCTAATGATAAGAGAAAATAAAATGTAAATTATAAAATAAGTATCGAGAACAAAAAAATTTGTCTACTAATTAGCGACTAGTTACAGAGTTTAATGCCGAGAACTTAAAATAACCTTCAAGTACTGTATTGCTTCATAATATCGACCAAACTAAAGCATCTATTAATCAGAAACATTGGGGATATTGTTACAATTAAGTGTATCTTGTAGAAATATCTACAGGATGCTGCTGCTGTAGGAACAGAACCGGACATGTTTACAGTGGAGTGCTGCTCACTAATCAGGGTAAACTTACCCTATTTTGTCTTTGCCAGCTCGTATTTTGATTTGCTGAAATGCACTATATAGAAAATTTCCAGAACAGGAACACTGATACACACCTGTAGCTAATATTTACCTAAATATCTACTATACTGTGATAAGAAAAACTCTGTCATTAACTTAATAGTTGAGAAATACAGTACACTGCTTGGCAATGCATAGTACTAGGTACATAGGTAGTTGTGCTTCCATTAATGTTATCCTGTTTTCAAACAGCTTAGTACCTGGGTAACAGTATAAACTTAAGCTTCACAAACTAGTACTAGTTTACCAAGGGAACTGATATTCTCTTATTTTGTTTGGCATTCTTTATAAATGAGATGATTATGAGTATCTGCTTACCTGTACTTTGAATAAATCTGTGGATGAGTTTTTAAGGCATGACAGAGGAATATATATATCTTGGATAGATATGAAATTGATGACAAATATATTCTTCAGTCAAATCTTGATAAAATGTGGTTTATTGTGGTTGGCACATCAGTGACTTTGGATGGTAAAAAAATATGTCCTGTCAAAGAAATATAGTTATTAATACAAACAAGCAATGCATACATGTAATTAAATTCTGGAAGAACCATTGCTGTTGGTACGGTATACAAGTATTTTTGCAACAACTTGTGACCTGAAGCCAAAATTGGCAAAGGATAAAGGTATGTGTTCAAAGATACTCATGTTATCTTTGAAGTACTTGGCAGAAACTGATGCTAAGATTTTCGTACCCATGAACATAATTAATGGGACACGCTACTACCCAATAGGTCTTGATATTAATGCTATTAGGAGCTCTGAATTAACATGAATCATGGTATGAGTATAAGCATCAATATCTCATATCATGCACGAGCATGTACATCAATACCTGATACCATGGTATGAGCATAAAAATCACTACTTGATACCACTGTATGAGCATGAGCATCAATATCTGATATCACATTACGAGCATATGCATCAATATTTCAAACCATGGACACTACTTTTGAATAATTGGCTCAAAAATTGAGGCATTGACAAATTCATAATTCAAAAGAAATTGATCAGAGTAACAAATACACCAGAGAGTAAACATTATAGTGTACTATACTGTGGTCATAACAGTGTATATGTGCCTTTGATATCACACAATTTTGTTTGATTATTAAAGACCATATAAACCTAAGGCCTTTTATTACATAAATATATTTTAGACTTAAGTAACAGTGTACAAGCTAAAACCATGGTTTTAACTTCACTTGGAACCAAACACTCTACAGAGGTAAAACTTTAAGGAAAATTAATATATATTCAAGATTTTTAAATTAAAAAATTAGATTTATATTTTCAATCCAAAATTATTTGTTATTGGTTATAACCTATATTTCATGTTGTTAGTTTAAATCACAACATTAAAATTTGTTAGGAACACTTTAACCCTGGAAATATTTGAAATGGGACAAGGTTTATTGAAATGGTCAATTGGTCTTATATCTAAAATTCACAAGACTTTGAAGGATGATAACACCCTGCTTATTGTGTACTGCTCATTTAAACCTGAAGGCATGAACTCTTATTTTCATATAGTTAATTTCATAAAAACATGCATAAGTAATTCTAAATATTTAAGATATCTTACAAATATTGGAACCAACCAGTCAGTGGTCACAAAATATTTAACTGGCATGTATTAACTGTACCTTAAAGTTACTATTACATTGTTCATTTTGTAGCCACTACATTTATTAGCAAACTGAACTGTCACAACTTCCTTCAGTTATGTAACATAGCTGCCATAGTTTTCATTAACCAATAAAGTATAAAATATTAAATTTCACTGAATACATGAATTTTTACAAATTAGAGTACTATAATATATAATTTAATACAAACATATATACAGTATTCCTGGGAATGAGGTTTAAATAAATACTGTCACAATATTTAATCATATCCTTGTTGAATGACTGTATGATTGTATAATATTATCATCATCATCCCTATGGCTGTCCTTTGGAAATCTGCACAGAGATATTAAACATATAGAATGTGCATTTAATTCTTATAATATTAAATAATGAAGAAACTTTGCAATAATGATTCTTACAAGAAAACATGGAAATGTATAATACTGATTTTTTGTTTACATGAATGAGCTTTAATTCTAATAACTAGAGAAAACATATAGAGAAAACAACTGCTGAAGGTTGGTTTATCATATTAACATACAGAGAGCTCTAGCAAATATTTTGGACTCTGCAGTTGTTTCTTCAAACATAAGACTTGAGAAAATGTTAGATAAGGTGATGCGACACAAAATTATCTCAAAGCAAACTTTTGAAATTACAGATGGTTTATTAGATTTATAAATTGATGTTTATTTACATTATCTTGCAAACCGTTTCATTCACCAAGAATCTACGTGAAAGAAAAAATACTGTATATTTAAAATTAAAATTTAACATAAACCCAAGCAGGAATACAGCTGTGTTTATGTAGTCGGCACAATTTGAATTTGCCTCTACTTTAAAACATTAACTTTGCTTTGTGTAGTGTGTGTGTGTGTGTGTGTGTGAAAGACTGCATCTATCAAAACCATCTGATTAAGGTAGCACTAAAATGCCACAGTTTATATACCTGTACTAGCATGATAACTGTGTTACATTATGTATGACCTTAGTTCTAAATTAGTATTCTAAACCAGTGACCAGTATAGATACAATAAACCATTCTGTTCCTATCCTAACAGATCATAATCATAACAACATTATCTAATAAACATATGCCTATTTCATCTCAAGTCAGAAATTACAACTTTAAGTTGTCATTCACACTTCCGTGGAAATAAACATTCCATTCACCGATTTCCAACCAAAATTCCAGTTTGGCAAGAGGATGCTGCTTCTGGAAACTTTCCTTATTAAGACTACTCAATAGCTCGGTCAAGAGAGCTTCGGCCGCACATGCGTGGGGGTCCGTGGTTCGAGTCTCCTAGAGCCCAGGTGAATGGAATACAACTTTAAGTATATACAGTTTAATGGGAGATGATAAACTTATTAAATATTCTGCTACCAATATTCCCACACTCCCTGAGGAAATGACAACTAATCATGAACCACAACCATTCTTTATTTCAGTCATGCAGCTATATGCATCACAGCTTTATATACCTTATCAAATTTCCAGCCCATACATATACAGTAGGATGCAATTTTTTATTTATCACCATCATCTCTATTCAAATATTTGGCAAAATAAAATACTATAAAAATTACTGAAATGCACTTAAATTTTATACTATTTTTATCTTGGGATTTTATCATAAAATTGTAAAATTCCAATTTATGCACACTTATTTTCAAATTTTCATATAATCACAGGACAATTTTGCTAATAAAGTAAGATGAAATTGAAGTGTTCTGCTTTCTTATTAGATTTTCCCTGGATTTCATTTAGCATGGAACTCTTGTAAGCACAAGCAACAAGACCATTCTCCTTCAGGTGGCTCCGAAAGAGGGGGATCAAGGCAGTATAAGTGATATCCTCGGTCACAGTCATCACAGAACAGCAGCTGATCCTGTTGAAGGATGGAACTAAGTTATGATATCACTGGCATAGCAATTGCAACTTGGTCCATAACAACATAAAGCAATAGCAATGAAGGGAAGCAACAGGTTGAGCATTACAGTACATAAATATTTGGCTATGAATGATAATTGGAGAGAAATCTATCATAATAGGCAAGGCAAACCATACTGATGCCTTTTTTTATGTCTCATATAATATATTAAGGTACACATGGCCTTAAAAAATCCTCATAACTGATATTTTGTATGGCATAACTGGAAAGGTCACCAGGTACTTTTTACTAGGAACACAGTAAAAAATAAATACGGTATAAACTAAAAACCAGCATTGAATGTAATATAACGCCATTTTCTGGGTGAACCCCGGAGGCTTCCTAAAGCTGTCTGACTAATATGTGCCATATTAGTCTGGGGCATCAAGTCACATAGAGCCTTACCTACCAGGAACCACGAGCCAGAACGTGGTTTCCTCAGAGAAGCGCAGGGAGCATTGGCCTATGAAAACCCCACTCTTTGAGAGTATATTCATGTATGCCATCAACCGGGGAAGGGACCTATAAAGGTAGACATCCCAAAACAAAACCCAACTGGAAGAACATTGCAGCCCAAGATTGAACAGAGTCCAAAAACTTCCCCCGAGAAAAACAATGCAACAAGCAAAACATCATCAAACCGATGCACGGCTTGTTCAGGCCTTTTTCCCCCCTCCCCCCAGTTCGGAGACTGAGCAAACGAAAAGAAAAAACGTCGACCGGAGGGAGGGGGGTGAGAGGTGTCAGGGAGCCTCCGAGATTCACCCAGTAAATGGCATTTCATTATATTCAATGCTGGTTTTCTGTGGGAAGCTCTGGCTCCCTAAAGCAAGATACCCACTGATAAGTAAAACAGGACTTACCCAAGAGGCGGCCACACTGTGACCCTTAGGACAAAGTAGAGACAGCTGGCCGCAACAGGTGCACCAATGCCACACAGGGTCACTGAGGACCCGGAACATTAACCAAAGAAAGGGCGGCCAGAACCCTGTTCAAACGGCAAAACCCCTGTTCCTGAATGTCAACTCAAGACATGGTACTAAAGACCGCAGCGAGAGCTGTAAACTTTCAAACATCATGGTCACGAGGGAAGACCGCAGGTTGGCTAGACTTAATAACCCTGCAGACAACCTGAGAGACCCGAGCCCTGGAACAGAGAACGAGGGAAACCTGGTCCACCCAAAGCTCATCCACAGACACAGAAGCAGTGGTGTGCAGGTAGTGGCGAAGAGCTGCCACCGGACACAACACATGATGCACCCTCTGCTTGAACAACCAATCATCGACAACCCACGGATCCTTCATTCCCGGCCCCTGGCAAGCCAGCAGTGTTTTCCATGTACATATTTCATTTTTGTACCAATGTGTTCACAATAGAATGTTCTAGAAGAACATATGTATAAAATGTCACCAAACCGTGATTTAAACCACTACCAATAAAGAAACTACGTGGATCACTAGCCGTGAGCTCCAAACAGCGACGAGATGTTTCCAATCTTTTCAGGGTTGTCAACTCCACACTTGTCCTACAGCGTTAAATTTGGTATCTTTGAGATCGCAATAAGATTCCCTACACGGACATATGCATATAAATGTAGAATCATGATCGCGGCCCACCTGCAAGAGTGTGGGAAGTGGGCAAAGTCTTACCCGTTACCACACATCGGCGATCTACAATAGTTTTACCACGAAGATACAAGACAATGCCGTTCTCCCAAATAGGCTATGTGGCTATTAGAGAAAACGAAACTTTTATGGCAAACATGTTCATACTATCCCCAAGTCGATCGGATAAGAACTGAATTTTATAGAAATATTTGTTCGTCAGACATAAAAATATGTCTCCTGCCGATTTTCAAGTGACCCCCGGCGGACATGATCTTGTGTCCGCGGGGAAGCAAAGTGTTACTTAATTAAAATAAGGGAGCAAGAAGCAAGCCTGGGTCTCTTCCTGAACCCTTCCAAGTGTGAAGTAGTCTCCTCCATCTCAGACATCGTAGCTAGAATAAGGTCTGCCTTGCCTGGAGCCCATGTCATTAGGGCCAAGAACAGCACCCTCCTTGGAGCCCCCCTCGGGTCTAACGCCATTGAGGAAATCCTTGACAAGAAAATCCCAGACCTTAGGAGGATGGAAGACAGAATAGGTGACATCGATGCCCACAATGCTTTATATCTCCACACCAAATGCCTATCCCTTTTGAGGCTAACCTACTTTCTGAGGTGCGCCCCATCTTACGACAACCGAAAGCTTGAAGACTATGACCTCTTATTGAAGACCATGCTAGAAAAAGTTGTTAACCTCTCCCTCAACGAATGCCAGTGGAAACAAGCCACTCTTCCTGTCAGGCTCGGTGGCTTGGGTGTCCGCACCGCCACCCAAATTGCTGTCCCAGCCTTCCTGTCTTCCTCCTCAGCATCAGATGACCTGGTTAAGGAAATTCTACCTGACACCCTGAGTGATGTAGAGGGAATACAGGACCCCCACTACACGGAATGCAACACGAAATGGGGTGCCATGGCAAACCCAGCACTCAGACCAGCCATGCCAAAAGCCAAGAAACAATCCAGTTGGGATAGCCCCATTGTAGACAAAGAAGCCACAGCTTTGCTGGAGGCAGCAACAACCCCCAGTGATCGTGCACGCCTCACAGCTGTGCAGGCTCCCCATGCAGGGAACTTCCTTTTGGCAGTCCCTATGTCTGCGACAGGCACACGTCTTGATCCGCAGGAGCTCCGTATTGCAGTCGCTCTCCGCCTTGCTGCCTCTATCCACACTGTTCATAGGTGTATTTGCGGCGAGGCAGATGCTGACGAATATGGATTGCATGGCCTGCACTGTAGAAAATCTGGTGGTTGGCACACTAGACATGACGAAGTCAATGACATCATTAAAAGAAGCCTTGCCTCTGCTCAGTGTCCAGCGGAGAGAAAGCCCCGCAACCTGAACCGTGACTCTGTTAACTTTGCCGGCCGACCAGACGGAATCACACTGCACCTGTGGAAGGGTGGCAGACAGTTGGCGTGGGACTATACTTGCGTATCCACCCTGGCAACCACATACATCAACCTCTCTGCCAGCCAAGCAGGAGCCGCGGTGACACACAGAGAAAGACACAAATCAGCCAAGTACAGGGAATCAGTACAACTTCGTTCCAATATGGTCTGAGACCCTAGGCCCATGGGGAGAGAGTGCAAGAAGGTTTCTTAAGGATCTTGGTTTCAAGGTCATTGACACTACAAGAGACCCTAGAGCGGCAAGTTTTCTCTTTCAGCACCTCAGTGTCGCGATCCAGAGGGGGAATGCCCGCTGCAACCTCGGTTCCTGCCCGGCATCGGAGGAGTTCGAGGAAATCTACAGCCTTTAGGAAGCGAGCTTTTTCTTGTGTCCTCTCAATGTTTATTTTTTATATAAAATCAGATATGTAACTCTAAAACCTTGCATAATAAAGCGTACACCACAAAAAAGGGGGGTGGTAGGAGAAGCGAACACTCATACGTATTCAAACACTCATACATATTCAGAGTTAAATGGCAAGTTTTTCTCTGAATGCACTGTGTTCCCTTCTTTGAGGCTGTAGGTCCTTATAATTGCACCAGAGGTGGTACCCCCCTATGTATATATATATGTATATATGTGTGTGTGTGTGTGTGTGTGTGTAATTACCTAAGTGTAATTACCTAAGTGTAGTTACAGGATGAGAGCTACGCTCGTGGTGTCCCGTCTTCCCAGCACTCTTTGTCATATAACGCTTTGAAACTACTGACGGTCTTGGCCTCAACCACCTTCTCCCCTAACTTGTTCCAACCGTCTACCACTCTGTTTGCGAAAGTGAATTTTCTTATATTTCTTCGGCATCTGTGTTTAGCTAGTTTATATCTATGACCTCTTGTTCTTAACGTTCCAGGTCTCAAGAAATCTTCCCTGTTGATTTTATCAATTCCTGTTACTATTTTGTATGTAGTGATCATATCACCTCTTTTTCTTCTGTCTTCTAGTTTTGGCATATTTAATGCATCTAACCTCTCCTCGTAGCTCTTGCCCTTCAGTTCTGGGAGCCACTTAGTAGCATGTCTTTGCACCTTTTCCAGTTTGTTGATGTGCTTCTTAAGATATGGGCACCACACAACAGCTGCATATTCTAGCTTTGGCCTAACAAAAGTCGTGAACAATTTCTTTAGTATATCGCCATCCATGTATTTAAAAGCAATTCTGAAGTTAGAAAGCGTGGCATAGGCTCCTCGCACAATATTCTTTATGTGGTCCTCAGGTGAGAGTTTTCTATCTAGATATATATATATATATATATATATATATATATATATATATATATATATATATATATATATATATATATATATATATATATATATATATATATATATATATATATATATATATATATATATATATATATATATATATATATATATATATATATATATATATATATATATATATATATATATATATATATATATATATATATATATATATATATATATATATATATATATATATATATATATATATATATATATATATATATATATATATATATATATATATATATATATATATATATATATATATATATATATATATATATATATATATAATATATATATATATATATATATATATATATATATATATATATATATATATATATATATATGTCGTACCTAGTAGCCAGAACTCACTTTTTTGCCTACTATTCAAGGCCCGATTTGCCTAATAAGCCAAGTTTTCCTGAATTAATATATTTTTCTAATTTTTTTCTTATGAAATGATAAAGCTACCCATTTCATTATGTATGAGGTCATTTTTTTTTATTGGAGTTAAAATTAACGTAGATATATGACCGAACCTAACCAACCCTACCTAACCTAACCTAACCTATCTTTATAGGTTAGGTTTGGTTAGGTAGCCGAAAAAGTTAGGTTAGGTTAGGTTAGGT